CTGTTTAGCCCCGCCCACCGATTCTACATCACTGTCTGTTTAGCCCCGCCCACCTATTCTACAGCGCTGTTTGTTTAGCCCCACCCACTGATTCTACATCGCTGTCTGTTTAGCCACGCCCACATATTCTATATCACTTTAGCCCCGCCCACCGATTCTACAGAACTGTCTGTTTAGCCCCGCCCACCGATTCTACAGAACTGTCTGTTTAGCAGTGGGCGTTTACTTCTGAGTCTACAATCCTCCACGACTGTTGAAACAGCGTTCTGACGAGGGGGTTAAAAACAGCACAGAAATAGCTTATGGTTTTTTTTATGTAAAAATTTTGATTACATTATAAGTGGACTTAAAAAAAACAAAGGCATTTCATGACCCCTTTAAATTGATTGTGTGACTGGAGTAACAGCTGATGAAAATTCAGCTTTGCATTACAGAAATAATTTACTTTCAAAAGTATATAAAATAGAAAGCTGTCATTTTAAACTGTATGTATATATATATATATATATATATATATATATATATATTAGTTAAAGAGCAGAATTTACTGAAGTGTCCTGAATATAAAAGCACTGCTGTAGAGAAAACAAGCATCTGTTTTGTGTGACAGCATGAAGGGTCAGTTTTAATACGACTATCTGAGACTTTAAATAATTTTAAACACTCTTGTTACATACCTCCACCACGTAGACGTTGAACTGCATGAATAGTAGATTCGTTTAGTACGCCATAAGAGCCAAGTGTACGACCCACCTCCAGTTGTCTGCCCTCGAAGATAAATCTGAGGTCCACTATGAAATACAACAACAGCAGCTGCGTAAGAAACAGCAAACATTAATGCATCAACCTCATTATAAGAGGTGAAGATGTATCAAGAGGGTTTTCTGTGATTAGCATAATTTTACTACAAATATAATGGTTAAAATATGGTCACTGTAGTAAAATAACAACAGATAAATCCAACAGATGTTATTTGCAAACTTGTATTTGTTCCTGCTGGTGGAATAACCTGCTCAACTTAATCTGAGTCCTTAATAATCTTCAAGAAGCAGCTAAAAACACATCTCTTCCATCTTCATTTGACCATCTAAGGCCCTGTTTACACGTGCGTTTTTGAAATGAAAACGATCCTCGTCTACACTGGCGTTTTTACTGCGTTTCAGAGACGATCTCCGTGTGCACTACTCAACCAGAGACGCATGTCTCATGACCGTTCATAATGAGCACGATGCAGGGTTGCCAACTTTTAAGTCCAGCTTGGAGTGAGATTTTTTTTGGGGGGGTGGGGGGGATTTTGATCTTGATTCAATATCAATTCATATGTATATAGTGCACATATAAAATATTTGTTGAATGCTGTTAAATGCCCTTTTTAGCACAATTCTAAACTTTTCTTGGGTTAAATTCAGTATTTGCTTGCATTCGATGATATTCACTTGTGTGTACTTATACAAGTATCATTAAAAATTAAAAAAGGATGTAACATATTCACTTTTTAAAATTCACATATGTGACCCTGGAGCACAAAAGCAGTGTTAAGCCGCTGGGGGATATTTGTAGCAATAGCCAACAATACATTGTATGGGTCAAAATTATACATTTATGCCAAAAATCATTAGGATATTAAGTAAAGATCATGTTCCATGAAAATATTTTGTAAGTTTCCTACTGTAAATATATCAAAACGTAATGTTTGATTAGTAATATGCATTGCTAAGAACTTCATTTGAACAACTTTAAAGATGATTTTCTCAATATTTAGATTTTTTTTCACCCTCAGATTCCAGATTTTCAAATAGTTGTATCTCAGCCAGATATTAAACTATCATAACAAACCACACATCAATGGAGAGCTTTCAGAAGACAAAACTTACCCTTATGATTGGTTTTGTGGTCCAGGGTCACATACTGTATATGAACGATCGTTTGAAGCATATTGTATGTTTTATAAACTGTGAAATAAGCATGTATTTGACCGAAACTCCGGAATTGTCAGCAAACTGACTCTATCTAGCGCGATGAATGTTTATATGATTGTCAACCAATGGGATGCTACACTTGATTCTTTCCACCCTCTCTGCATAATCCCTCTGCTAAGCCACGCCTCCCTCAAAACACACAAACGCACTCCGGCAGACCAGAGACTAACCTGTGATACGATGAGAGACCACACTGTTGGAGGAATGAATGCAACACTGTCAGATTACCTCATGCCTCATTCACCAGTGAGAAAACATTACAGTGCAAAGTGCATTATATGCGTTTCATTCTTGCTGGAACGCACTGATGACGTCATGTCTGCACAAACAAGGTGCGCAGAGATATGCAAATACATATTTGACAAGCAGGCTGGACAGCCTGTCGTAATGTTCGGACCGAACAGTTTGATTGGACGAACATTGTATGGTCCTACGCTTTCTGCAGACGATATATTTATAGGACTTAACTTAGTGTTTGTCATAACACAAGCATGGCGTGAGATTTACACGAGACAGAGCCTGAAAAGCGTGTCTCACGCCAAATGCGTGAGAGTCAGCAACTCTGCATGATGCTATTGTTAACTCGGTCATCAAGGAAAAGCAGAGCGAATGTGGACAGCCACATCCTTTACGAAAGTCTCAGTTTCGGTCATTTCACTGAAATGCACCCCGGAGTTTTCAGAGTGCAGCATTTTCGAAAGTCTCCATTTCCGAGAGTCGTGTAAACGACAGGCGTAACTGTAGCAAAAGTTATGCATTTTAAAATGAAAACGCCTAACACTAGCCCTCTATATTCTATTTCTATTCTATCTTGTTTTCTTTTTTACTTAAAAGATTATCCTCTAACACTAGCGTTCTCTGTTCTTTTTCTACTCGTTTTTTTTTTATTTATTGTACAAAAACTTGATCCTCTAAGTACCTCTATCTATACTTCTATTCTATCTATAGCCTACTATTCTCTTTTTATTTTATTTTAAAAAACAGGACTTGTCACAATGCTATATATAATTGCTCTTTTGTTGGTTTTGATTGCTTCTATTGTCCTCATCTGTAAGTCGCTTTGGATAAAAGCGTCTGCTAAATGATTAAATGTAAATGTTCAGTGCCTTTTAAGTGAGCTGTTGAATCGACATTCTAATGCTGATACTAATTTTTCTCATGTTTATATCATTTCCACATATGATAGTTAATGTTGTTTTTATATGAATTATATCGTACGTGACAAATTAACTGTAGAAACTGAACACTTAAGTGTTTGACTCACATTTGTCTTCGGGACTGAATCTTCTTCTGAACTCTTCAACAGTCATGTTCTTCAGTTCCTCCTCTGAATCCACACTTACTGCTCTTGTTGTTCCGTCCAGCTCTTTAATAAAAATGTAGTAACTCATTTTGCATGTGCAAATTTAATGCAGAATTTAAAATTAGTTTAAAATGAACAATGTGCTGCTGTGTTTAGTTTTACTTTCACTGTAACATTTGCCCAGAGATAGTCTCCGCCCACGTTTTCCAGCCAGAAGTGTTTTTCTTTGTTTTTATGTACAAGCTACGTGTGTGTGTGTGTGTGTGTGTGTGTTTATAATCTTAAATAACAATACTGTTTATAGTGTTATATTAAATATGCCTAGAGTTAGGCTGCATTTAATTTTCATAACATTATGCTTAAAGGGATAGTTCACCCAAAAATGACTTTAATTGTCATTAATTACTCACCCTCATGTTGTTCTAAATCCATAAAATTTTTGTTCATCTTCGGAACACAAATTAAGATATTTCCGATGAAATCTGAGAGCTCTCTGACCCTCCAGCAAGGGTACTACCACGATCAAGGTCCAGAAGCGCAGTATGGATATCGTTAAAACAGTCCATGTGACATCAGGGGTTCAACCGTAATTTTATGAAGCTACGAGAATACTTTTTGTGTGCAAAGAAAACAACAATAACGACTTTATTCAACAATTTGTCTCCTCTGCGTCACCCTGGTGCCATTTTGGAGAGTATCACAATTTTTGCGACTGACACCCAAATAGAAAGTCCAAACAAAAAAGAAAAAGAGCTAAGGCATTGACCATTAGGACACTAATTAAGGAGTTCCAATGAACAGGAAATGTTACAAATCTGCCATCAGTATATTGTCTATTGTCTTAATGAAACGTGAGGAAGATAGTTTGAGTGACCAAAGACTCTCCAAGGATCACAGCTGGAGAATTGCAGAACATAGTTGAGTCTTGGGCTCAGAAAGCTTTATAATGGGCCGTGGATGGATCTTCAAACAGAACAATGATCCAAAAGGACCACAAAAATGGGTCACTGAGCACAAAACGAAGGTTCTGTCATGGCCGCCCCAGTTCCTGACCTGAACCCTACAGAAAACTGAAGAGGAGAGAGTTTATCATGAATCTGAAGGATCTGGAGTGATTTTTAGGAAGGAAGGCTCTCCAAACTCTTCAGGCAATAATAGGAGGAAACTCCTAGCTGTAAATGAGGTTGCAAAAAGCATTGAATAAAAGGGTGCCATTAATTGTAGCAAGCGTGTACTAGAGAAAAACTTTTCTTTTATAATGAGATTTCCCTTCCATTTTACTTTAATGAGAGTTTTTTTTTTTTTAAATAAAAGATCAAAATGATTAACAGTGCAGATTTATTCTCACAGGCTTCTTTGTTCAAGGGTGCCAATACTTTTGATATATGAAGATTGGAAACACAATGCTAATCTGAAGTTAAACCTTCCTCCTGGTAGGTTTAATTTAAGACTTAATTTAGTCCTGAAGTAGCTCTAGTCTTCCTCCAGGAATTCAGTTTATTAAATTCTGGACTAGACTGAGTCTAAGACTATTTAGAACCATGACAGAGAAAGCAGATTTCTGTTCATCTGGTTTCAAGGGCCATTTAAGCCTCAAGTGAAATACTGTGGAATATATGGTGGTGAAAATAAAAGGTCAAAACAACTTTCAAGCATTTCTTCAAGTCTCTGAACAGATGCAACCGCTATTAGTTGAAGCTTAACCAGTTTTCTACAAATATATTTATAATTCTGTTTCATCAGTGATGCACTGAACTAATTAATACTGTAACATGCTTTAAGCTTCCTCTGTGAATTCAGTGTGAGTCTAATGCATTTACATGTTCAGAGTTAATTTCTCCATAGATTCAGTCCAGCATATTCCTTTAGCACATTCTTCATCATCTTCATCTTCAACCTCATAATCATCATCATAATCATCATCATCATCTTCAGGGTCATAATAATTATCATCTTGAGGCTCATATGGAAATAGTTCTGTGAGAGAACAGAACAACAAAAGATCTGTCAGAAGCTGAATGATATTTGCTGCCATAAACATGTCTATCAGTTCCTTTAAAGGAGTCATATGACGTTGCTAAAAAGAACATTATTTGGTGTATTTGGTGTAATGAAATGTGTTTATGCGGCTTAAAGTTGCCTCGCCTTTCTGAAACGCGTCGACTTTTACAAAGCTCATCGGTCTGAAAAGCAAGGTGTGCTGTGATTGGCCAGCTATCCAGTGCGTTGTGATTGGCTGAATACCTCAAGCGTGTGACAGAAATGTTACGCCCCTCACCATACTGTGCTCTGTCCGGCCGGAGCGACGAGACAAACACATTAAAACCCATTATAAACGAGGCATTCGTTGCATCCAGTGGGGACATAATTACTGATTATAATGACTTATACTGTCTTTTTACGCGTTGCGTTGTGTTGCATTGCATCGCGCCGCGTAAACATAAAACTCTGTCTGCATTTGTGATCGGAGAAATGACAAACAACAAGTGCTACTCTACACTGCTCAAAACTCACGTTTGAATCATCAGTGGCAAATCCTTTAAATGAAAACGTACTTAACTGCCGGCATTTTAGTCTAACAATTCTCCCAGGATCAGGAAACAGTCCTCCATAAAATGTGCAGGCGATCCACAACAGCATCTTCAGGACATGGCGGCGGCGGCAACAATACTACAGCGAGAATAAAAGTTACGCCTTCTTTCTTTGCGTGAACATTTGGGCGGCGTTATGCAAATCTTCCCACATAGTGAGGTAGACATGTGGGGGCGTGTTAGAACGAGGTGTTTTAGGTAGGTGTGGCAGACTCTTAACTTTTATAAAGAATATCTCTGGATTTGAGACTTTAGTCTTTGCAACTTTACAGATCTTCTTTATGCACCAAGAGCTTGTAACACTCCAAAGAGAAAGGAACAATTGAAATCACATCATATGACCCCTTTAAAGGGCAGATCTAATGCTATTTCATGCATTCTGAGTTATTTACACTGTTAAAGAGTTGGATTCTCATGCTAAACATGACCAAAGTCTCAAAAAAAAAACAACTGTTGGACATATGATTATATGGAATATGAGTATTTTTGTGTCAAAGACACTCCTTCAGGGTTTGTATAATTTCTGGAAAGTGTTTTTATTTATTTATTTTATTTTTTTGAGTATGGCCCTGTATGACATAATAAAGAGCGGAATACAAACTGTGACATTTCAAAAAGCTTTTGAACCTTTAAACTGTTTTTGCTCACTGGGCAAATATACAGTGAATATCTAGAAAATATGGTGTCATATTATCACTAGAATAAAAAAAAAAAGTGGACTTTTGACTCAAAACTAATCACTGAGATACAGACCTTGTGTCAAACTCCCAAAAAACAACAACAACTGGCCTTTGTCTCCTCTAAAATGATGGGTCTGTTAGTTTTGGATTATAAAGAGATGCTTTAATTAGTTACTGTAGTAATACACATCTCCACTGGGGCATTGCACTGGGTTTAATATAAATCAAGTATTTGACATTCAGAGTTTGACAGTGAATGAAGTAAATTAGATTGATATTATACTTCAGCTGATCTCAAGAGTTAGAAGACAGTTACTGTGAATTCACCTGTATTCACATGAATGTAGCTCTGAGAGAGATTCTGTGGAACAGAGCAAGAGAAGATCTGTCAGAAGCTGTAAGATTTGTTTTCTTAAATTAGTGTCTGTTAGACAGACCAAGAAAAAAAAAGCTAACTAATACCATGTAATCTATCTATGAATACACACACACACACACACACACACACACTCACACACACACACACACTCACACACACTCACACACACACACACACTCACACACACTCACACACACACACACACTCACACACACTCACACACACACACACACTCACACACACTCACACACACACACACACTCACACACACTCACACACACACACACACTCACACACACTCACACACACACACACACTCACACACACTCACACACACACACACACTCACACACACTCACACACACACACACACTCACACACACTCACACACACACACACACTCACACACACTCACACACACACACACACTCACACACACTCACACACACACACACACTCACACACACTCACACACACACACACACTCACACACACTCACACACACACACACACTCACACACACTCACACACACACACACACTCACACACACTCACACACACACACACACTCACACACACTCACACACACACACACACTCACACACACTCACACACACACACACACACACACACTCACAATCTAATTAAAAGTTGTTTTAAAAAGGTCATTAAAGGTGTTTTCAAGTGTCAAAAAAAAATAATAATAATCTTGGAAGAAATAATGGAAGTTAGCAAAACGGTTTATTATTTACATTATTAAATTCACATTATAAACATTATTTACAGAATCTTTACACTGATTAACCAATGTGAGGACAAGGAAGGAGACTATTCTCACAAAATAAAAACATTAAAGTGCATGTGTGTTTTAATAAATGTAAGCAAAAAAGGGGTCATATACAATATTTGCATATGAATGTACAGAGACATGAAAACCCCATCTTATACTACACTATTTACATTGAGAAGGTAATGAAGTAAATTAGATTAATATTAAGAGTTCATTTTTCCATAGATTCAGGGCGTGTTTACATGACAACGATTGTACTAAAAATGGAACAAACCAATGTTTAGGCTGACATTCAATAAACTGTGTGTAAAACTTTTATTTCTAATATTTGATCTGATATCTGAATTGATATTCATGACAGATTCATAAGCATAGAACTAAATGATATCCCTTTTAAAAAGCACTGCTAGAGAGAACAAGCATTTGTGGACTTTGTGACGACTAGCCCCGGCCTTCTCTGTTATGATATCTAAGATCAGTTTTAAGACTATAAAGAGATGCTTTAAATAATCCCAAATGCTGTTGTAATACATACCTTCGTGGAACGGTGGTGGCATAAACCCCTCAATAACATCTTTGTGTTTAATGCCATGAGAGCCAAGTGTGCGATCATCATGAAACAGAGTCGTGTTAATGCACCGAAGCGCACAGCCTTCATGTGTGGAAGCAAAAAACAACTACAACAACACGAGGAACAGCAAACACCTGTGTGTCATGTTTACCTGGTCAGATCGGGTCTTCTTTATTAAGATATGGCTTCAGAATAATGTTTTCATGTTAATGTTTTAAGGAAAATGTGCTTTTGCCAGCTATTTTCTGTTTATTTTGATAAATAAAAGCATTTAATATGGCTTTACTGAAGTAACAATGAATACGTTGATTCATATATTTTGAGTTTCATTATAAATATGGTGATTATCTCTTATATTAACCTTTTTAATCCAACCAACAAGTCAACATGTTAAAAAGTCATCCAGCTATACATTACTATCATGTTAATTACTGTGCATTTAGCCACAGCAAGGGCACAATAATTTAATAATTTTTTAACCACAAACACCATACTTTAGTTATTAAAAACGGTTTAATTACCTTGAACAAAACCGAAAATCAAGGATAAATAGTTTGGAGAATGGATGCTAGAGTGAAAAAAACAATAGAAATTCTAATGGTTTCCACTACAAATACCATTTCACACACATTACAAACCAAATCAACTTTTAACCATTAAAACATGGTTTTCTGATGTGTGTTTTGGGACATATTTCATTAGGATTTATTGGTTTTAACAAGCCACCAGTAAATGGCGACCAATTACCAGTAGAGACCCACAGGCACCATTACAGTTTCCAGTAAAACCAGTACAAGTCCCATTATAACCAGTAAAACCAGAACAAATTCTGTGATGATATCTATTGTTTTCATGCCATCTAGCGGTTTAGAGGAGAATAACATCAAATGTGGAGTAATATCGCTTTTATTATTCCCACTACGTTCTCTTTTCTCTTCTACTTTGCTTCTATTCTCTGCCCCAACAAAGGAAAAAATGCCAAAAATAAATCTTAAAGAAGCAGAACTCTGAAGTGTTCGGGAAAGAGTTTTCTCTTTAGCTCCTCAACTGTGGTGTTCATCCTAGTTCACCACAGAAACCTTTGTTTTATTCCTCTTCAGTGGATCTACAAAACACACCTGGAAACTCATTCTGAATGCGCTCGAAACTTCACAGAAGCAATTTAAGATTTAAAAGCGAATTTCGATGAGATGTGCGCACAATTATGATGCTGTGTTTAGCTTCACTTTCACTGTTTGGAAAACATGCATTACAAACTCTTCCAAAATGGACTCTTTTCACATTTTCTGGGGTTCATAGTTGCGTAAACTTCTATAGTGATGAAGAGAAACTAAGACATTTTTTGTTATTCCCATTTGCTCCAACAGAGAAAGAAAGAAAAAAATCCACAGAAGCTTTTCAATGACTTCATTAAAGAGGGGGAAAAATATCAAGAGACTGACTACTTTGGTCAAAAAAGATAAAATTGTCAAGTTTTGAGCACCTTTAAAGGGACAGTTCACCCCTAATTGAGCATTTGCTGAGAATGTGCTCATCCTGCAGGTCATCCATGATGAAGATGAGTTTGTTTCTTCGTCAGGTTTGGAGAAATGTAGCATTGCATCACTCGCTCACCAATGGAAGTGAATGGGTGCCGTCAGAATGAGAGTCCAAACAGCTGATAAAAACATCACAAGTAATCCACAGCACTCCAGTCCATCAGTGAACATCTGGAGAAGACAAAAGCTGAAACACATCCAGCAGTTTGAAGAAACTAATCACCAGTTTTGAGGTTACTGAGATGATGTCAAAACAAATTGGAAGTTAGCAAAATGGATGAAATCACTCATACAACAAATGTAAAGCCATTTAGCCATTGAAAAGACAAATTAAAAATATTCAGGTGCATGTGCAGTTTAATAAATGTAAGCAAAAGAATGGGCTATGTACAATATTTGCATATACGAATGTGCATAAACATACAGGAAAATGCAAAGTATGTCAAAACCAAACGCCACTATAAATTAATTTTTGGGAGCTAAGAGGCATCAGAAGATAACATGATAGTAAAATTATGGTAGTAAATCTGAACTCTTATCACTCTTATGTGAGGCTGTCATATAATGCATTTAACTACATTATGCAACATGATTTATCAGATTCTGGGTCAGTCTGCTGCATTGGAGCAAACAACCATTTGTAGACTTTTGACTCTATAATGATAGAGAACATCTAAAATAAACAGTCAGTTAGTTTAAGACTGTAAAGAGACACTTTGGGTAATTTGACATATGATATGGCTTCAGAATGATGTGCATTGTTTTGTCTTTTCTTTGCAAACATCTTAGTCTCAGTTCAATCTACACTCAAATGATAATACAGGTTATCCTCATGTTTAATGGCATTTTTCAATGAATATTTTTCTTTTTAACTCTTCAACTGTAGTGTTCTTGAATTCCTCCTTTGACTTCGACACAGAAACTTTTATTTTCCTGCCGTTAGGCTTAGGCTTATATGTCAAATCTAAAAAATAGACTTGATAACCCATGTTGAATGTGCTCGAACCTTTACACAGATGCAACTGAGCATGAACTGATTCAGCAAGTGAATTTGCGTGTGATGCATGTGATGCTGTGGTTAGTTTCAATTTCATTTGCGTTCCAGCAGTGACTGTTCCTTATGCAGAGCTCTTTGCACTGAAAGCGTTTGTAACGTCCAGTTTGATTCAGACTCTTATCTTAATATTTATTTTGCTGTGTTGCATCTGTGAAACTATTCAATATTAATGTCAATTATTTTAAGTTTGATAGCTATTTTTAGTTAGCTTTCAGTAGTTTTGAAAACTATTTTTCACTAAATTTCTCAATAGAGTAAAAAACTTAAAATCATTATCCACACTAAAGCTAGAAATACAGTCATTTTTAAACGTACATGGTTATTACTGTAATAAAACAATAGTTGCTATTTTTGTTTTCTTTGTGCACAGAAAGTATTCTGGTTTCTGGTATTCTGGTTAAGTTTCTGGGCCTTGAATGTTTCATTTGCGTTTCTGTCTATGGAGGGTCAGAGAGCTCTCAGATTTCATCAAAAATATCTAAATTTGTGTTTTGAAGATGAACAAAGGTCTTACTGGTTTGGAACCACATGAGGGTGAGTAATTAATGACAGAATTTTCATTTTTTAGAAAGAGAACTATCCCTTTAACCCACGGCAGCAGTTTAAAAGTAGCACAATTCTGCGGGAAAACCGAGGACATGGCAACCCTGGGTGAAAGCACAAACCAATGAAGGGGAACTTTTGTATTTTGTTCTGATTTATTATGACAAGTTCTCATTCGATTCAGACCAAAAACATACTAATAAAATAAAAATCATAAATATTCAAAGGGTTGTAATTGTACATTTCAATAATATCCCCCACAAACTTCACCCCTTCTTATAGATCTTAAAACACATTTTCACAACTTTTTAAAACAGTTTTATGAAAGTTTGTCTACTTGGGAGTTTTATTCAGAAAGAGGCTTTGTTACTTGAACAATCGGTGTGTTGTTAAACAACGCACTGTACAGTGAAGACACACCTCAGAATGTCTGTCTTCATAATCTTTCATCATAAAGTCATAATCTGCCTCATCTCAAAAATATTGCATAAATTCCCCACTGTTGAGTGGTCTACTATTATTACTACTAGAGATTTCTCTCTGAGCTTATTACTGAAATCACACTTTTCACTAAATAAAAATATTCAAAAGCATGTTTGATTCAATGAATGTAGGGTCATGTACAATATTTGCATATGAATGTACAGAGACACATGAAAACACAAACTCCATCATATACTGTGTTTAATATTGAGTTGACAGTGAATGAAGTAAGTTAGATTGATATTACACTTTATCTGATCAACACTCAGTGTGAATGTATTTATAATTCTCGGTAGATCGTGTGAAGCGGTTTCATTAATGATGCACTGCACTAATTAATACATCAACATGCTTTAAACCTCCTCTGTGAATTCAGTGTGAGTCTAACGCATTTACATGTTCAGAGTTAATTTCTCCATTGATTCAGTCCTGGATATGAATTCACCTTCACGTTCATCTTCAGATGAGAGAGATTCTGTGGAACAGAGCCAGAACAGTTCTGTCAGAAGCTGAATGAGTTTTGTTGCCATAGATCTGTCTTTCCGTACCTTTAAATGCGTGGAAGGAATGATAATTAAAGATATATACACATGTGTACACAATTATTGCTCAGGTGAAAAGAATGCTGTCATACTGGATATGAGATAAACTACAACATTTAAAACATAAAACAAGTATGAAGCACAAAACTCAAAAAACAGCAAACATGAAAACAAACCAATGTTTTGGCCAACGTTCAAAGAACTGTGTAAAACTTTTCGGTATCACTACTCACTATTATAACTAGTTGCTTATTAGCATGCATACAAGCAACAACTACCTTACCAACTATTAATAAGCAGCTAATTAGGAGTTTGAGGCAAAAGACGGTTTGTTAATAGCAAGAATTGGACTTTAAAATAAAGTGTGACCAACTTTTATTTATAACATTTGATCTCATATGTGAAGTGATATTCATAACATCTTGATATTCGTCAACAGACAGTTTTTCTCTATCAATAAAAGCATCTGCTCCACGAAAGTAAGCTCTCTTCCCCTCCTCTCTCGCCGCTTTTACCCTTGGCCATAGCAACTTCCTCTGTTGTCTTTCTGCAAATGTCAGGTCCTCTGCCAGGCGAACACCTCTTTCCTTGAGTGCAGGATGATCCCGTGCAGCTCTCCAGACTTTCTCTTTGTAGGTCCGGAGTGCGAACTGGATGATAACCGGCCTAGGACTGTTGCTGAAAAGCGATCCGTGAGGGCATTGACAGCACAAAGTATATCGGCATTAGAGACTTTGGGTTCTTCCTGACAAGTTTTTTTTGAAAGAGGACTGCCTGTTGGAGTATTTGGGGATGAATCAAAGTCTACAGATGATGCTTCGAGAAGCGAAGAAAGTAACTTTCTATCTTTGTTCTTTGGTATTTTGAAAAATTCACACGTGGGCTGGCAGTCTGATTTATCAATATACGTCACAGTCTGCTGTTGAGGTTTTTATTAATTAAACAGTTAAAGCATTCTACTTTTATAGAGAGTTCTCACTCCCCACCTTGTAAATACAAAACAAATTCGCCCAGAAGATGCAAACTCCTCAAAAACGCCTCAGAGCTCATACCAACACAACCGTTCAGGTCGCCATCTTGCGCCACCCCTCGATCGGCACGCAAGCATAGACTGTAAAAAGCATTCAAGTGCTCGTCACTCTTTAGCTCCACCCACGGCACAGCTCCAGGAGCTCAGCTTTTTCTGGAGAGAATCGTAAAGCTGTATTTTTCTTTTATAAATATGATAAAACTAAAGAATTTTTGGAGATATGAAGGATGCAATACTACTCTATAGGTACTCAAGATCAACATGCGATTGGGTGAAACTGTGTGTGTTATGCCCCCTTTAACTCTTCAACTGTAGTGTTCTTGAAATCCTCCTTTGAGTTCACCATAGAAACTTTTATTTTCCTGCCTCTAGTTCACGGGAGAGATTTGCTTTATTAAAGTCCCCGAGAATGATTAAAACTTATATGTCATATCTAAAAAATAGACTTGATAACCCATTTTGAATGTGCTCGAACCTTTACAAAAATGTAATTGAGCATGAACTGATTCAGCAAGCGTTCATGTGATGCTGTGGTTAGTTTCAATTTCATTTGGATTCCAGCAGTGACTGTTCCTTATGCAGTGCTCTTTGCACTGAAAGCATCTGTAACGTCCAGTTTGATTCAGACTCTTATCTTAATATTTATTTTGCTGTGTTGCATCTGTGAAACCATTAAATAATAATGTAAATGATTTTAAGTTTGATAGAACTAACCTTGAATTCATGAATGTTTACTTTTCTCAGTAGAGCAAAAACTTAAAATCATTATCCACACTAAAGCTAGAAATACAGTCATTTTTAAATGTACATCGTTATTATTGTTATAAAACAAAAGGTGTTATTTTTGTTTTCTTTGTGGACAAAATCTATTCTTGTAGCTTCAATAAATTATGGTTGAACCACTGACGTCCCATGGACTATTTTAACAATGTCCTTATACCTTTCTGTGCCTTGATCGTGGTATGACCCTTGCTAGTCTCGCGTAGCCAGACCTTCAGGTCTGGAATCCATGGCAGCTTTCATTGGCCAAGGCCCACCCATGAGGCCGTTTGACCGACATGTAAAACTACCAATCACAGTTCGATTAGTTTCAGCATCACGTTTCAGGGCGTGGAAATGTCGCCACAATAACAGACTGGTGTGTAAAACTCTCGGACGTATTTTAAAGATTCTATGCCGCGAACTTTAAATATTTCACATACTTTTGAAAATCCAGCGTTTAGTTTAAGTTTTTGGGTTAACTATCCCTTTAACCCACAATTTAAAAGTATCCCAATTCCGCGGGAAAACCATGGACATGGCAACCCTGGCTGAAAGTACAAACCAAATTGTTGGACGTTACCAATTTGTACAATGAAGGGATCTACTATTCTCTATTGACATCTTGTTCAGGATCTCCAGTGGGACTCTGTGTACAGTTATTCAGTTCACTGATGATAATTTAGCTATAATACATGATTCTTTTTGGTACGAGTGAGTTGTTTATTGTGACATACTGTTTCCAATTTTGGACACACTGATAAAATTTCACTCAGAAATCACTACATTTCACAAACAATTACAATGAAATGGCAAGTAACACTGTAATATAAAATACCACTGCATCTTCTAACTGAAAGGTTAGGAAAATACTATGGCAGAGGTGTGCTCATGAATACTAATTATTTGCCTTGTTTTGAAGAAAAAAAAAATCTTATACATGATTCAATTTATATGTCACAAGCTCAGCAGTTTATAGGCGCGTTCGACTTGAAGCAGTGCTGTGCAGAATGATCACTGTATGACATCAAAGTACCGCGAGAGCAATTCGAATGCATAGGACCCGTCTGCTCTCTTATCGCTCTCGCAGTACTTTGATGTCATACAGTGATCATTCTGCACAGCACTGCTTCAAGTCGAACGCGCCTTATGTCTATCTGCCCATCACAAGATCAGTCACCTCTGCGCGTTACATTTCCAGTGAATAGTCCAACGAAACCAAATTTAAAATGTCCTGAAAACTCATCATTAATTGATTTAATTATAACTAATGTCCCTCATAAAGTGAAAAATCAATTTGATCTTTTAGCTTTAAATATTGAGGTTTCTAAAACCTGCAATATTACTTTAGTTGGATGCTATAGGCCACCTTCAGCAGTAAATGAAACCTTATCTTTCTTGACACAGATTATATCAGATTTAGACCCTAAAGAATTAGTCCTGATCGGTGATTTAAATTGGAACTGTTGCAACCAGTATCTGATGATCTAAAAGTATACTCTTATTCAATGAATCTTTTTCAGATAGTAAATAGTCCTACTAGACCAAATTTAAAATGTCCTGAAAACTCATCATTAATTGATTTAATTATAACTAATGTCCCTCATAAATATTCCATGGCATCTGTATTTGCAAACGATATAAGTGACCTCTGCACTGGCTACCTGTTATGTTCCGTATCAGTTACAAAATATTACTACCTATAAGGCCCTTAATGGGTTAGCTCCTGCGGACCTAACTAGTCTTCTACCACGCTACAATCCATCACGCTCCCTAAGGTCGCAAAACTCTGGACTTTTGGTAGTACCTAGGATAGCAAAGTCCACTAAAGGAGGTAGAGCTTTTTCACATTTGGCTCCCAAACTCTGGAATAGCCTTCCTGATAACGTTCGGGGTTCAGACACACTCTCTCTGTTTAAATCTAGATTAAAGACACATCTCTTTGGCCAAGCATTCAAATAATGCATCTTATAATCTTGTATTTCAGCTATATCTGATCAAATGCACATTATTATTCTCTTGCTTGGGTTGAACACTTAATGTTTGGTTGGTTGGTTGGAACAGCAGCTACGCTAATTTGCTTCTCTGTTTCTGCCACGGGACTCATATCATATAAATAAGTTTAATGTAAGTTTAATATTAGTTTAATTAATAAGTTTAATTAATTAAAACATCTCGGTTACGTACGCAACCCTCGTTCCCTGATGGAGGGAATGGAGACGTTATGTCGTGACGACATTATGGTGGTTTACTTGAGAGCCCCAATCCGCTCTGACTTTAAGAGAAAATGCCAATGAAATTTGGCTAATGGATTTTCATTTTCTCATTCAGATTTTACGCTGAGGAGCTGTGAACTTGTCCCTGGCTACCAGCGATGGTTCAAGGATGTGGCATGGGGACATAACGTCTCCATTCCCTCCATCAGGGAATGAGGGTTACGTACATAGCTGACACATTCCCTATCTGTCAGTCACTTTGAGTTATGTCGTGACCACATTATGTGGTCCATAGAAAGCGCCACAACCTGAACCCCGTCACAACCAAGTGGTATTGCAAATGTTGACAAGCAGCCGCATGTCAGACAAATACTACGCAAAGGTCATAACCTTCCCAATGCCCCAGCGCAAAGTTCCTGACCTTGGAGTCAAGAGAACACGACATCTTTAAATGCTCAAACAGACAGCTCAAAGTTTTCATATGTAAAACTTTTACATATGTAAAAGATGACTACATTAATCATTTTTTGTTGCATTAACTGAATCGATGCAGTGGATTTCTAGTTCACAGCATGCTTTGCATAGGGCTTGTTCAAGAGTGTAAATGTTTAAATTAAGTGTTATATCATGTTTGTTTGTTTTTTGGTTGAAAGGAAAACCACTGATTGTTTAATGTTCAGTTATGTTTTGTATTTAAAAGTGTTTCTGTTACGTTTGTGTGGTAACCATTGTGCTGATGGTTGGGTTGTGGTTGCTTCACTCAATGAGCAATAGTTGCATTGGTATGTTGCTTCAGTGAAAACTTCCTTGTGCTGATCTAGCTGCATAAACAAATGAACATCAAACATTGCATGTCAATGTACCCAAAAACACAGACATGTTGGAATCTGTTCCGTGTAAACTAAAAAAAAAAACATTGACTAAGCTCAACTAAAAATGTACTCTGTTTAAAATTAAGAAAAATTAATTTTGTGCAACCACATTAAAAATGAGAAATTCAAAAAGCCACAGTTTATTTGCCCCCCACCCCCCGCTGCTGAGGTCTGTGCACACCATTTCCTGTAAACCAGACCTGTTCCTCTAATTCAGCCCTGTTTATATTTTGGTTCACTTTAGAAGAAAAACTACATCAAAAATGATTTCATACTGATCACATACACAACAATCTGAAAAAAAATAAAAATAGTCAAGATATGCGTAGAGAAGCCTGTTTTTACTCTGGTATGTCAGAACTAAACTTTGAACTGACAGAAGACCTGCTTATGCTGTATTTTTTATTATTTTTATATAGAAATAATAAAACAAAAAATGAAAAACCTGACCTAACTGAAATGCTAAAATTATCAATATAATTATATGATAACCTGTATACGCTGTAGAGTATGATGAAACATTCAGGGAGTTAAAGATCATTTTGAAGTTTGTGTTACGTCATTACACTTAACATGTGCTTCCTTTTCTGTAAATTAGCATCAAGAACATTGTTAGATTGTAAAATGTAATGTATGGTATATTGTCTTTTCTCATTGGGGGTTACTTCAGTTATGAATCATTCAACATCTTTGGACAGTAGTGCTGGTGAGAATGATTCTGTTTGTGCAGAAGTAGTATATTTTGTACATGTTTGTGTATTTTTGGTGTTTTTCGTGCATAGGGATTAACTGCCAAGCTGCAAGCCTAGACAGTTTTGTAAAATTGTCTCACTTGGAGAAATAATAATAATAGATTTAGGGTTTGCCGAAGTTCTATAATTCGTATTAATTACATGGGTTGAACACATAATTTCTGCTTGGTTGGAACAGCAGCTATGCTAATGTTGTCTCTATTTGCTTCTCTGTTATTGAATTACACAAGCTTCAGTCTGGATCCAGCCCTTACGAAGATCTGAGAAGAGATGATGCTGACCCCTCAGAGGACCTCAGATGATGCTAACCCTGAAACAACATACAGAACTAACACATTTTGCTATAAGTTTGATTGCATCATATAATCATTGCAGTTAATAATGTTCAACATCTGTTTGATTACATGTCATTAACCAACTGCATGATTTTTTACTGTACATTTCTGCCATATGGACATCATCTTGACACAGTCACCACTGATAAGCTAGCCAACTAAATATAATGTAGCAATTATATTTGATTTTCTGTAAAGCTGCTTTGCAATGTTTTTGATCATGAAAAGCGCTATACAAATAAACGTGAATTGAACTGAATTTAAAAAACAAACAAACAAACGCACACACACACAGGAAAATGGAGCAAAATCATTTACTTTGTATATTCATTCCAATTAATAATGAAAGTAGTCAAATAGCATAATATAAATATTACATTAAACCTACATTACATGTATTTTAAGGATATGTTCAGACCTAAACTAAAAGTTTGAACAAACAATAATATCTGATTCCATTTTAAAGTAAAAGCAAAAGCACATACAGTGTCCCAGTTTTAAGCAACAAAAACACCTGTTTAACAACAGCTGAAAGTAAAGCAGATCTGGGTATTTACATATTGAAAAATTGAAGAGGTTCCTATTTTTAGTCTAATTGTTTTTTTCTCTCTTTTCCTTGACTTTTTTCACAGCAAGTGATGTACCCATTCCTGCTGCAAATACTGCCCCTGCTCCAATTAAAACTGCAGGTAAAACCACAACCTCGGTTACTCCCAGGACGATACCTCCTGCTATTGCTGTTCCTGTTCCTATGACTGATCCAACTCCTAAAGCAACGTCTAATGCCTTTTTCTTCATCTCTTTTATTTTAATCTTTTTCTGAGCTTTTTCAAACATGTCATTGGTGTAATGGGTTCCTCCATTTTCCTGGATCATGCTGTCAATCTTCTCCAGCAGCGTTGTGACCTGAGAACGGTTCCTCATGTCTTTATTGTTGAACGCATGATATCTGCCACCACAGCTGTCAGTAAGTTTCCTTAAGTTCAGGCTTTCCCCTACAAAGCTTTGCAAAGTTTTATTTTCCAGCTGATCTGAGCGAGTGAACAGAACAATAATAAAGCGCGCAGCATTTTCTCCAAAGTTTTCTTGAATGAGTTTCACCGTGTTTACCTCCTCCCGTGTGAATCTCGCATCCAGATTGATCACCAGCAAAAACACATGAGGACCAGGAACACACAGCTCAACACACTGCTCTATATGTGTCTTCATTTCTTCTTTAGTCAGCGATCCGGAAAACCCTGGCATGTCAATTACAGAGATTATTCTTCCTCCTTGCTCTACAGATTCTCTGCTGCACCTTGTTGTAACTTCTTCAGGTGAAGCTTCTGAATGAAACCTTTTCTGTCCCAAAATTGTGTTTCCTGTTGCACTCTTGCCTGTTCCAGTCTTCCCTACCAGAATAATCCTTAGCTCAGGTTCTGCAAATCAATAACATCATTATATTCTAAATAGGATTTGTTCCTCAAAGCAGGTGAAAAGCTGACACAAAGGCATTTGGCTAAACTGTAGATCTTATTTGGTTATTTTGGTAAATTATCAAGATCAAAGCAGTAGAACGACCAAATAAATTAGGTTACCATAGGTTTCTCTGTATGAACACACTTGCTTTTGCATTTTTTTCATTTAGCAGATTTATCCAAAGTGACTTAAAATAAGTAACATCAAAAGCAATTTGCCATAATTCTAAAATAAGAAAAGAAAAAAATACTATACAGCATTGAACTTCAGTGAACTTACCGATAACCACACATTAGAATAGAATACCACTTTCTAATGAAACTCACAGTGTTGCACGGAGTCTATGCATCTCTTGTCATAAATAATATACAATGAAAGCCTGACAATGTTTAAATATGTTAGAAACTTTACATTTGTGAGCATCACATTCAGTAATAAAATGTGGGAAAAATGTAAATACTTACTCGATGAGACATTTGAGTCATAAGAACTTCCGGAAAAGTCATTTGACAGTAATGCCTCTGTTAAAAAAAAAGTTTATACTTATTGCATGTTCATGTTACTTTAAAACCAATTTAAAATATTGTTAATAAATTACTTACCCGAGTCACTCATTTCTAAATTTTCTGGAGATTTTCTCAGTTTTGAATGTTGCGTAGAACGCTCCCCGATGATCTACTCTAGCTAACTGTCAAATGTTCAGTTTCATTCTTGTTGTTATGACAGGGAGAAACTGAAACTTACATAAGAATTTCCATAAAAGGAGATATATTAAAAATCAACCAATCATGATTGAATTGAAATAGCTTCAAACTTGTACATGTAACCCCAATGCAAAATCCCTATAAAAGAAAAATACGAATGGTTTTGTGGCATATTTGTATGAATAAGTTCAATAGCTTTTAAAAAGCTGGATGGACTATTCTAGAACATGGTGGAAAATGTTTATTTTAACCTAAAGAGCATACTACAAGTCTTTAATGTGCTATTATTTACTCTAGATGTTCAATTTCTATCATCACTGTTTTCTTTGGGTTTCTTCATTGAGACTTCTTCCAGCTCAATATCTTTTTAAGGAAGACACTGACTTACCCAGTACACATTATATAATATTATAAATAACACACTACAGCTTTTCAATGTACTATTATTTGCTCTATGTGGTCAATTGACACTGCCAGTGTGTTGCATTTGATTCTTCTATCATCCAGTTCATTCGCTTTCAAAAGGCTCAATGGACTGTTTCAGAACATGGGGGAAAATGTTAATTTGACCCTAATAAACATACTTCAACTCTTTGTTTTGCAATCATTTGCATCATATGGTCAACAAGTACTCTCAACCTGTTGCATTCATTTCCTAAATGACAAATTTTTCAGTTCAACAGTTTTTAAAATGCTCTATGGACTGTTACAGAACATGGTGGAATATGTTTATTTCAACCTGAAGAATACACAACAACTCTTCAGTGGACAATTATTTGCTTTATATGGGAAATTACATCTCCCAAACTGTTGCATTGTTTTCTTCATTCACACATTACACGGTTCAATACGTCTGGATTAAACAGACTAATTCTTCCGGAATAATCTGTAAAATGTTTAGCTAAAAATGTTTAAGTTTCCCAGCAAATTTCCAATTTTCACCTTCACGTTCATCTTCAGATGAGAGAGATTCTGTGGAACAGAGCCAGAACAGATCTGTCAGAAGCTGAATGAGTTTTGTTGCCATAAATCTGTCTTTCCGTACCTTTAAATGCGTGGAAGGAATGATAATTAAAGATATATACACATGTGTACACAATTATTGCTCAGGTGAAAAGAATGCTGTCCCACTGGATATGAGATCAATTACACAATTTAGAACATAAAACAAGAATGAAGCACAAAATTCAAGAAACAGCAAAAATGTAAACAAACCAATGTTTTGGCCGACTTTAAAAAGAACTGTGTAAAACTTTTCGGTATCACTACTCACTATTATAACCAGTTGCTTATTAGCATGCATACAAGCAACAACTACCTTACCAACTATTAATAAGCAGCTAATTAGGAGTTTGAGGCAAAAGACGGTTTGTTAATAGCAAGAATTGGACTTTAAAATAAAGTGTGACCAACTTTTATTTATAACATTTGATCTGATATGTGAAGTGATATTCATAACAGCTGTATGTAACTGAACAATATTGCTATTACTAAAGCACTGCTAGAGAAAACATGCATTTGTGTACATTTGATAGAACTCTTAATGTGACAACTAGCCCCGGCCTCCTCTGTTATGATGTCTAAGGTGAAGGGTCAGTTTTAAGAAGACAAACAGATGATTTCGATCCATAAATACATACGTGGAAGCATCGTTGGTGCAATCACAATAACATCATTGTGTTTAATGCCATGAGAGCCAAGTGTACGATCATTAAACAGAAGCTGGTCATTGCAGTAAAGTTCACAGACTTTATCTGTGAAAGCAAACAATGACAACATGAGGAACAGCAAACTCCAGTGTATCAACTTTAGAAGAAATACAACTCTAAAGTGTTCGACTTACATCTGCTGTCTTCAGACAAGAGTTTCTTTGTAACTCTTCAACTGTGGTGTTCTTGAATTCCTCCTCAGAGTTCGCCACAGAAACTTTTATTTCAGTCTCCTTTCGTCTATCTAAAAAACAGACCTGGAAACTCATTTGGAATGTACTCGGATCTTTCCAGATGGAATTTAAAGTTAACTTGGATGAGATTCTGCAGACAAGCGTGTGAATGTGACACTGCTGTAATTTCACTCTCAGTGTATTATGACACGCATTACAAACCGTACCAAGAGAAACCAAAGTCTACAACCACATTTTCAGCACCATTAAAGGGATAGTTCACACAAAAAGGGACATTTGATGAAAATGTGCTCACCCTCAGGTCATCCCAGATCAGGATGAGTTTGTTTCTTCATTCACAATAACATCATTGTGTTTAATGCCATGAGAGCCAAGTGTACGATCATTAAACAGAAGCTGGTCATTGCAGTAAAGTTCACAGACTTTATCTGTGAAAGCAAACAATGACAACATGAGGAACAGCAAACTCCAGTGTATCAACTTTAGAAGAAATACAACTCTAAAGTGTTCGACTTACATCTGCTGTCTTCAGACAAGAGTTTCTTTGTAACTCTTCAACTGTGGTGTTCTTGAATTCCTCCTCAGAGTTCGCCACAGAAACTTTTATTTCAGTCCCCTTTCGTCTATCTAAAAAACAGACCTGGAAACTCATTTTGAATGTACTCGGATCTTTCCAGATGGAATTTAAAGTTAAATTTGATGAGATTCTGCAGACAAGCGTGTGAACGTGACACTGCTGTAATTTCACTCTCAGTGTATTATGACACGCATTTCAAACCGTACCAAGAGAAACCAAAGTCTACAACCACATCTTCAGCACCATTAAAGGGATAGTTCACACCTGTTTAGCCCCGCCCACCGATTCTACATCACTGCCTGTTTTGCCCCGCCCACCGATTCTACATCACTACCTGTTTAGCCCCGCCCACCGATTCTACATCACTGCCTGTTTAGCCCCGCCCACCGATTCGTGCATATAGTGTTTACGAAAGAGGCAAACGCAGGTCTATGCAGAAAGCAATATAATATAAAGGTGCTCTGAAGACAAGATGCTGTGCAGTGCCAAGTTGTGCGGTAAAACACCGCAGTAAAGATAGTTTGCGGTTTGATATTCAGATTTATTTTGGCTATAAATACGCTGCGCGCTGTCATGCATGCAAATAATACCGAATATCATTCTCCATGATTTGTGAATTCAGGGGACACTGTCCTTCGGCCCGCAATCTTTTTTTTTTTTTTTTCGTAGCGACTCTTAATTTTATAATGCCTATAGCTCCAAAAGTTGGACACTTAGAGGAATGAAACCGCGGTGTCATATTCACCTGCCTGATCTGTGAATTTTTTCACAGCAAAGCTCGTCCGTAAACCCCTTGGCAAGCCCGCTAGTAAGGAATGTGCAAGAAAGGCGTTCTTCATGTTTAACGCCTGTTACCAATAAGCACGCAGACTGCTGGAATACAAAAACATTGTTTTAGGTCGAGCTCGATTTGTGAAAACTTTCACAATCGCATTTTATCGCGTGGCAGTGTTTCTCTCTGCTCTGCCCCCCGTTTTTTGTAGAGTTTATTTATAACATGATATTGTTAAGGAGCATAACATCACCATTCTGATCTGTGAAAACTGACCCGTACGGAACTGTGAACGTTTTCACAAATCAAAATAGTGATGTTATGCTCCTTAACAATATCATGTTATAAATAAACTCAACAGTTTGAACATTTACCTCATGCTTCTTGTGAGTTTGTGTGTGCCGTTGGATATTTGTTTTGATGTTGAATGTAATAAAATCAGAATCAGTCTGGCGTTTCGATGCTAACTTGTTCGGGCGTGTAAAGATGTCTTTCACTAAAAAATGGTCCTGGACAAGCTTTAATGTCAGTACAACTACAGTGGCAATAGACACACATGTTAATTCGTTTCTAATTATAGTAAGTTGTCACGTCAATATGGGACAGTTGAACACATATGAACAAATGACATTTCACATATTTTGCTGTTCGTCAGTTATTTCGACAGATAGTAGTTACTATGAGAATCGTTCGCACTGGGCATTACGTTAAAAGTTGGGTAAACACTACTTTAAATGCTCTCAATAAGAAAATTAAACTGCCAAAATGAGAAAAATGCAGCATTTAGCCTAACTATGCTATGATAGCAATTTCCAGATTACTGTACATACCAAGGCCGCTTGTCTAAATGTCATGATAGCACGACATACATTAACTTAAATAAAAATAAAATTATATATTTCTTATGTAAAATTAAGTGAACTTACCAGGAATTATGAATAAAGCCTCTAATCTGCAATCGTTCTCGAGCTGCTCCAGTCGGCTGGATTTCAGATTTGAATGAAGCGCGCGCAATCCCATAATGCCACACTACAGTAAGTTAGTGTAAAAATCAGGAGCTACAGTGACAACACCTGCTTCTTGTAAAAGAATTACAGTTGACATGGAAATATACTGTTAACAACTGTAAAACCTTATTTGACCCATAACGCATTGCGAATTACAGCTACATCTTGTAAAATGTTTAAACAGTAATATCCTGTAAAATTTTACTGTAGAAACTACAGCAATTTTTTACAGTGTAGATATAGTGGTGCCAATAGCTAAACCTGGGAAAGATCATACTGTTCCAAAAAATTATAGACCAATAGCTTTAACATCTAACCGGTGTAAAATAATGGAAATAATGTTTGTATCGCGTTTATTATATGTTTTGGAAACTAGAAAGTTATTAATAGGGATGCACCGATACCACTTTTTCCAGTACTCGCCCGATACCGATACTTTTATTTTTGGTACTTGCCGATACCGAGTACTGATACCAATATTTTTATTGCATTTGTAAATTTGTTAAATATTGGGTACAGAAACCAAAAGAGTATGTATAATGTTAGTTGGTTAACTTCATTTATCAAATAAATAGTCAAGCCAAAATTTATTCTGACACCTTCAACATTTCTCACATTATCACAGTTTATTCACTATAGTTTAGAAAATGGTAATAAAATATGACAAGAACGGTATGTGAGAAAGGTATATTCACTCGACAAGCTCGCGCATCTGCGCCGCCGCGCGCTCAATCCACTCAGCGTGCTCTGCTTATCAGCTCGCGCACATCAGCTATACAGGCGTTAATACTGAATGTTTAACATTATATTCATTGCATACATATACAACTTTATTCTGCTGTCTGTTGTCGGTGTTTCTTTGTTTGAATATGGCGCTTATCACATGCTGTGTGGTATCGGCGTTTGGTATCGGGGCATTTTAACGAGGAGACCAGTATCGATATCGGTGCATCCCTAGTTATTAAATGCATATCAGAGTGGGTTCAGGAAAGGACGTAGGACCATAGATGCAGTAATTTGCTTAAAAAATGAAATCAGGAAAGCTCAAGTGAAAAAAGAAATGGTCCTAGGAGTATTTTTCGATATCGAGAAAGCTTATGACATGGTATGGAAGAACTGTTAATAAATTTAGGTCAAATGGGCATTAATTGAATGTTGTTTAATTGGATTATGGATTTCCTAAAAGAACGAAAAATACAGGTAAGAGTAGGTAAAGAATACTCTGATACCTACATAATAGATAACGAAACTCCTCGAGGTAGCGTTTGCAGTCCGGTGCTTTTCAATATTATGAAAAATGGTATATTTGAGGAAATAGGATCAGAAATAGGAGGGTCACTTCATGCTGATGATGGAGCCTTATGGATAAGAGGAAGAAATCTAAGATATTTAGAGAAGAATATGCAGAAAGCAATAGATATTGTTGAAAGCTGGACTAACCAGTGGGGATTTCGTCTTTCAGTAGCAAAGACTCAGGTTGTTTGTTTCTTAAAAAAGAAGAAAACTGAAGTAAAATTAAAGTTGTATGAGCAAACTGTAGAGCAAGTGTCTTTTATCAGATATTTGGGAGTATGGACGGACTGAAAGTTAACATTTGGAACACATATTCAAAAGGTAATTGATAAATGTAAGAAAGGAGTTCATGTATTAAGATGTTTGGCAGGACTGGACCGGGGTGCCACAAGACACTCACTAAAGAGAGTATATTGCGCATTAATTAGATCATCGATTGATAACGGTAGGATAATTTATGGATCAGCGTCAAACGCTTTGCTAACAAAGTCAAGCCCTAAGGGTTTGCTGTGGAGCTGTTAGATCCTCTCCTGTAACATCACTGCAGGTGGGAGAAATGCCTTTGGATTTACGTGAGCTCCAGCTAAGACTGGTATACCGGTCATTTTTCAAATCATCCAGTTAAAAATGTTTTGGGAAATTGCTGGGAATATGAACCATCCCAGGTGAAAAGCTTTGGATGGATTATAGAAAAGCAAACTCAGCAAATAGGTATTAATAATGTTAATATTAGTCCTACAGTAGCATTGCCATTATCTCCGCCTTGGTTTTTCTCAATGCCTTCTGTGGATCTCCAGATATTTAAAACTATAAAGGATAAACAAAATCAAGTTCCTAAAGCGATAGTAGTGCAACAGCATCTTGAGAGTGAATATTTATTTTTACAAATATTTACTGATGGTTCCAAAGACCCAGTAACTGGACGAACAGCTGGAGCTATGTATATCCCTCTTTCTAAGTATAAAGCTGCAAAAATAATTACTAATGATATATCTGTATATACTGCAGAGATGGTGACTATTTTGATAGCATTACAGTGCGTAGAAGAAGTTAAACCATCTGCTGTAGTAATTTGCTCAGATTTGTTTTCAGTTGTAGTTTAATAAGTGGAAAATCGGATTCAAGACAAGATATATTAATAGAAATTTTACAAAATCTGTATAGACTTTGCCAATTGAGACTTTTAGCAGTATTTTTTATGGGTGCCGGGCCGGCTCATGTTGGTGTGGAGGGTAACGAGGATGTGGACAAGATAGCCAAACTGGCCCTTAAACATGATGTTATTGATTTAGAAATACCTTTGGGTGAATCTGAAGTGAAAGGCTTAATTAAAACAGCTATTAAAAATATGTGGCAGGAGAGGTGGGATAAAAGAAATAAAGGTCGTCATCTGTATAATATACAAAAACAAATTGGTTTAGTTAGAGTTAGTTATGGCAACAGAAAGGAAGATACAGTAATTTCTCATCTGAGAATTGGTCATTCTGCCATCAACAAATCACTTCAAATGATAGGAAAAC